AAAAACAACTACCCGATAAACAAAAAAAAAAAAATTGCCGACACCTGTTCAGCATTACACCCCTAACCACTAATAAACATATTTTGGCACTTCTCTGTTTTAATTAACATCCCTTATGCGGTGGTCCTCTGCTTAAATTCCCTTCTTATTAAGATTTATGCTTTGACCCATTGTTTCGGCCTTAAAATCTTGCTTGAATACGGCAAAAGCATCCTAGGAGAAGTGCCTCAAGAATCTGAAACAAAGCTTCAAAGCAAAACATGACATTTGGATTCATCTCAGTTCTAGGTCCTAGAAACCTGATTCGTTCCAAGTCGAGGTTTCGAACTTTGATCCTTCTCATCTCAATTCTAGCTCATTACAGAGCTATATGTACGAATTCTTTTGGTGGGGTAGGGGATTTGGTAAAAATAATTAAGAAGCTGTTATGAGCTGGTGGTCCACACAAATCTTAGTTATCCAGAAATTTCAAGAACAAAACCAACAATTATTGAGCCGAGGAATTTGACCAAAGACCTAACGCCTGTGCCAACAACTAGTCAGTGCCTAATTGGCAAGTTCTACTTTAAATAAAACAAGGGAAGTTTCTTGGCTTATGATAAAAGTACTTGTCCCGGAAGCAAGTTTCTTGAACAAGTAAACAATGACAAATTTCTGTTATACGATTGTATCCATGCCAACTAATAGAACTGCTTTTTCCTTTCCTTGGGTTATTGACATCTGTTTCTATCATGCCAACTCATCGTTTTTTATTTATTTTTTTATTAGAACAAGTGGTTCGAGCGGAAGGGATTGAGAGAGGGATCGAACTCTTGTCACGATGAAAAAGACTTATATTAAATTGTTGGACCACTAGGCCGGTAGGCTTTCTTCCACCATTTTCAATGTTGAATCCAGTGTTGTCAAAATCTAGATTTAAATTTTAAAATCTTACGATTTTACGATTTCAACAAGGTATTTTGTGTAAAATCTATACTAAAATCTAAAATCAGGTAAAATCTTTATTTTACTGTGAAATCAAGTAAAATTTAGATTTTACTGTAAAATCAGGTAAAATCTCGATTTTACCTTCTGTTTGGCAGTTGGACTTTTTGTCTATTTCCTTTTGGATTTTTCATCTTGGATTAATGAGTTTTGACTAAATAATCCATAAATTAAACTCATTTTTCATTTTAAAAGCCCACGACCCACACAACCCAACCACAAATCAACATTTTAATCGAGAATTCGGGACAAATTTGATTTAACCATCTAAAATTCTAAATTTAAGTCATCTTCTTTAGTCATTTTCTTCGTTTAATTTATTTGTGTTGTTG